CGCAACGACATCAAGTAAGATTAGCAAGTCAGCAACCAGCCCGCTTGTCAGCCCGAGGAAACGTTGACATTGAGCGCAACTCGTGGACGACAAAACACTCAGTCCATGCTCACTCAACATGGCGAGCACGTTCTGGGCCACTCGCACGATGTCACGGCGGCTTGCCAAAACGGTTAGAACTTGCTCGACACTGAAATAGCCAGATTCCATGGCAACCACACCCGCCCACTGTGTGTATGCAAGCGAGAGCGATCTTGGCCCGCGTTTGTGCTTGCCGGCGAGTTACTCCCAACATGAACGAAACCATTTCCACCGAGGGACAACGTCAGGCAGGTCGACAGTCCCGCACGCACGGCCTTGCCGTGTCGAGCGCGGAGTGCTCTTCAAGATTTAAACCGGAGCACGAACTTGCAATCGGACCGATATAAACGACTCCACAGCTGATGTGGGCCACGCTTGCGTTTAAGCTGAGGAGCGTGAGATATGGGAGGCTGGGGGATGCATTATTCCGGGACAAAGAGGGCTCCCGATGGTGATTGGTGTGTATAAAGTGTAAGTTTGAAATTGTGTCTATTTTAGCTTAAGTAACCAAGATACAAATAAATAATAATAATTTACAGGCCTTTGTCAATCCACTGCTGGGTGAAGGCTTGCCCACACTATTTTTTTAGTCACGGGGATTGTTTGACCATACTTTGTGTTGTTCAGTATCAGTTGATAAATGGGGGCGAGGGTACGACCAGTTAAAATATCGCTCGCCACTCATGATAGCTGTGGCCGGGAATCCAACTCAACTGGCAAACTTCATAACGCAAGATACCAACCACTATGCCACCACTGCCCCAAGTGTGTGTGATACGAATGACTTTAATTTGGCATATATAAAAAATGCTATACTGCACGTGATTATTAATGTGATTTAATTCACAGATTTATATTTACACAAAACATAAAAAGTGTTTTTGTCCTTGTTCAGGGTGGTTAACAGTTTATAACTGTGTTTCAATAAACATTAAAGGAACGCGTGCTTGACCTCTGCCATTTGCCGATGTTTGTGTGTGTGTGGACGCGGCATTTATTACCAACGCCTTCTACCCAACTATAATTGGGACCCAGAAAAATATTTCCAAATACCTTTCCTGAGCGTCATATTGCCACAGAGATCTGAGCAATAGGTCATTTAGATCTCATTTTATAAATGTTTCTTTGAAACTTTAATGTTCAATTTTCTTTCAATAGGTATGGAAATGCCAGCAGCCTAAAGGTTACATGGTGGCATACATGGCCATTGCAGTTTCATTGGATTTTGTTGGCTTACTATTTCAGCCAGCCAGTTCATCATGAAAGTGGCACAGAGGTAATCATTAATGGGAGAAACATTTATTTTCATTTGGAATATTGACGTAGCGTGTGTCACACTGCAAGCCCTTAATGGGCAAATAGGTCATTTCAATTTTTATATAAAACATCACTGCACGTGCAATATGGTTCTCAGTCTTTCATTCCATGTTTTTTTTAATGTAAAGTGGCACACACTGCTATTGCTGGCGAAAAATATATAAAAGGAAAAAATATTAATAACAAAAATAGCAATTCAGATATAAAGACATACACCAAAAAAAGATCATTGTAAAATCTAGGACACAACATTACTAAACAACATAAACGTGGTATGTACTATTCAATTATTTATTACAAACAGGTAATGCATTAAGGTGATTTTTTTTACACTTTCAAAGGGTACAATCTGAATTTCCAGGACATTGCATGTGTTCCTTAGATAAACTAGAGGACACAGAAATGTTTTTCTCATGTCAGCGTTTACATTTGTGGTGCCACAGCCGGCTCTATTTCAAAAAAGTGCCAAGTGGAACCCCTGCACTTTCCAAAATGCTGCCTGCCATCAGCTTTACATTATTAAAATAGCAATACGCATCTCGCAATGTGTTGGCGAAAAAGGCAATTTCATGTTTAATAAAATAAACTTTTGCATTTCCACATCTATATCTGCACCAGGTCCACCTCACGTGGCATTCGTGCCTAAGTGGAGAACACGGGTGCACACACCGGATTAGGTTGCATGCCGAGTTTTAGGAACATTTTTTTTAAAACGGAGATGCCATTTTTTTCTTTCATTCATTCGCTCCACCACACTGAGCCAAAATTATATTTCTTAAATGACAGTTTATTTTAAGAAATAACATGTTTGCCCTTATACATCTGAAATGGATACAATAGTAACATTTTAAAAAGTAAAATATTGTTTAATGAAATTAAGCTAAATTATTTCTGCAATTTTATAACACTCATTTATTTTCTTAGTGGTACATTTTGAAACAATGAAATACCCATGGCTTTTCGGCAAACACTGCATGGTTGGACCGAAACATTTTTTTATAACAACCCTCATGCCTGTTGACCAACCATATAATATCACTGGACGAGAAACATGCTTATAATGTGAACATCACCATCATCAGCAGCCATGATCAATTTACTGCTGAACGAAAGCCTGCCCAAGCACAGGTCTGTGATGTGAGAATAGTGTCTTAAAATAATTAAAGACCCACATTTGAAGACTAACAATATATCTATATAATATCAATGACATTGCATTCGAGATGTTTACATTTAAAAAAAAAATAATTTTGTATATACATATGCTAAAGTGGGCATATATCTCTACCATTCTAACGGCGTATTAGGGATTTTCCAAAAGTTGTAAAAATAATGTCGTAAATGTATATATAGAGGCACACTATTTTGAGCAATTTATTAAATGTTTTATATACAAATTTGCTTTAAAACATGGTCCTTTACAGATTACCAGTGCCTTCATACGATTTTTGTAAGTTTTAATTCTAAAACCTTTCAGCATCTTCTAATTGGCATGAATATGAACATTTATATATTTGTATTTTTAGAAACCGATTTTTTTTTACAGATAACATACAAGCATTGGAGAACGTAAAATATGTTTTCGCCCTCTACCTGATGACGAACGCTTGTGTTGCGATCGAAACGTCGTAGTTTTTCGTTTTTTTGTTATTTTCTTTGAACCCATCTACGTGACTTTACCGAAAGACCCAAATAATATATTTTAGGTTTTAACCAACCTTCAATTAAAAACTTTTAATATTTGTTTCCGTCTTAATTGTTAGTACTCATGGTGTCCAGGAATACCTGCAGAATATTGAATGCACTACACTACTGTTTCTGAGTATACATACCTGAATGGTGCCTGTCACTTCATAACTTTGGAGGGAGAGCCATAAACTAGTTAGCGCTTTTATTTCTTGTGTCAAATTTGCTTCTCTCAGAAACTGAAGCCTTTGGCGTAATTTTGTGTTGGTTTAAAGCAGACTCCAATGCTATGCATTTTAATAATTCCGTGAAATTACAGGACATTTCAAAATACAGTTCCCATAAGTCTGCTATGAAGAAAGTGTCGTGTTAGTACGTGGGGCACAATTACACAAAAAATGTGTCTGCCGCTTTTTAACGAGACATGGTGCTGTTTATATTAAGTAATGTGACATTATGTTTGGCATATTATTTTAATTAAATTAAGTAGTTGTACTTATTGTAAAATTTCTGAATTTATTCAATATTAAGCTTCACCAAGGTGTATAAATGGAAGTTATATTCGGTGTCGCACATTTGAAGTTGCAGCATTTGATTCGCACCTACTTTCGAAGCAAACGTGTTTACATTTTAAACGTGAGTACCACATAATTGTGCACACATTTAAAAAGTTCACCACTGAAACATATACATAAGACGCGACAAATAAAGTTTTGATGAATAGAGCTTAAACATCGTATTGGGCTGATTTGAAATCGGATATGAAGCCAAACCTTTATGCACTGATGAAATCATGTGTTACTGGAGGTAAATTCATAACATATCCCCATTCGCTTGTTCAAACAATGGGCAGTGGTCATCTCTCATTTTACTCATTTCACAGACTTGAGAAAGACTGTGAAATGCATCAACCGTAACAGAAACGTTGGCTCACACTCGTCTTATTTGACCATTATACGTTGTTACGGTAGAGACGCGAGTGTATTGCCTATTATATAGAAAGACCGAGGTGAATGGGACATCACAGAGTACACACAGATTCACATTTACGATATGATACCGCCTAAGGCTCTCACAAAGATCTAATAGTCCGCGCTATCAATACGCACAGTGCAGCACCACTTCTCTCACTCTTTCTAGATCTGTTTTAGAAGTTTGGCAGAGATATCATGCCCAGATTTTCTGAGATTTTCACACTCTTTTGTAGTCCCGGCCTGGAAAACACTAACGCTCACACACCAAAAAAACCATAGATCTAATGCTCGGGTACGCTAAACTAAAACGAAACTAGTTTATTTTACAAGGTAGGGCCCACTGAGCTATATAGCTCTTTTTCAGAAGCGACCTGGCAACAAATGATGGCTCAACGATGTGGCTTATCGTGTGGAAATTCATAGCAGCCAAATACTCGAAACGCAATGTTTATAAAGGTGGAGGGGGAAAAAAAGGAGAGCCCAGAGAAATATCCACGCGACCACAGAGAGAACTTGAAAACTCAAAATATACAGCAGGCGTCAAGGTCGGGCTCGAACCCACGACCTCCTGTATACCAGGCGAGAGTTAACATCTCGCCACATTATTTAAAGCATTAGCTCGCACGTGGTTGCTCACGAATTTCTCGAAAGAACATCTTTTTCTATTTTAACTTAAATCCATCCTTAAAACATCTAATGCGCAAGTTTGCATGAACAGTGGCAATTACAAAAAGATAAAACAAAAAAATAACAACACGTCGAAGATTTCGAATCCATCGCGGAAGCAGCAACAACACCAACAACAAAACAAGGCTAAGTGTAACGCAACATGTACAAAAAATAAACACGTGTTAAAGCGATGAACGCCGCTCACCGTCTGCGGAACGTGCGTGGTGGCTTTCGAGAGAAACGAGAAGCGCAATCCCAGCAAGCGGTACTCACCACAGACTGTGCACAACGCCTTGTTCTGCAGACCTCATCGCGCCTCGAGCCGCGCTAACTTGAGCCGCCAACTTTTCTCGACATTCGTTCGCGATTTTTGTATTTTTTTTTTAAAACAAAAAAAGCACGCGCGCACGCACACACACACAAGCCGCCCTATTCCGTCGTGCTTTGTTCCCCTCGTGCCGGTGTCGTCCGCCGCCGCCGCCAAAAGAACGCAACTTTTGATTTAGTTGCACCTACGCGCCTCTCGGCAACAACAACAACAACAACTCTCCTACCTCTCTCTGCCACTGGTGTGACTCCTCTCGCTGTCTCTCGTTGTTGCTGCTGCCGCCGCTGCTGCTGCTGTCTGACAGACGGACGGACAATGTCAGTTGCGCGCGACTCCGCGTGTCGCGAGCTCCTCTGTTTCTTTCTGACAGGGCATGGAGCTAATACCCAGGGCGGCTGCATTTGTTAGTGCTGGGTAAGGGGGAGGAGAGGTTTCACCACCACCCCCATCACGTTGCGGGAGGATGGGGCGGCTGGCGTGCAAGGGGGGCGTGGAGTGGCTCCGCTTTAAGCTGCTGCTGCTGCTGCTCGAATTGGCTTTACCCTCCTTTTTTCATCAACATGGACCCTTCCACATGGAGCGCTGTCAAAATACATCAAAGCTGCCCCCCCCAAACCACCACCCCACCCCCCCACATTGCCTCGTTGCATATGTTGTTGGGGCAGGCCATATTTTGTCTGCGTTATTTGAAAATCCAATTAGTGTGTTTGTTAGATTGAAAAGTTTCTTGACACAACGTGCTGCAACTGCATACGTTTGCGTGTCTGTATGTATACGTTTGGGTGTAAAGCGCAAAGGATTTCTCAATCGAACAATAGATACATTGGTTTAAAAGAAAGTATAATTTGATCAATGTGTTGTAACTTACATTTTTTTAATTGATTAAACACACTCCTGTTGTTGATTAAAAATGCATCTCCTATTAAGTACAAATATTCTGCTGGCTATATTTAAAAGAAAATCATCGGTATCTGTGTTAGAAAAACAACATCTTCCGTTTGGGTTATTTTTAATTTTACTTTCTCTGTAAACATCTGGCACATTTTAATTGAAACGGCTATTTAAAGCCGTCGATAAATATAGCCCCAAACTTGTAATATCCACAGCACAGAAAAAAATAGCCTGACCACCGGAGCAGCGCGTTGTTCATTCTCAGGTGGTGACCACACTTAGGTAACAAACAGCCGATAAGATTGTATTGCACTTTACGTTGCCAATCTCATTGACATTCAGTCCAATGTGACCCACACTTGGGCACGAGTAATGCAGATTTCAGCACCCTGGGCTTTCACGGAGAGCTTCAAACGCCGAAGCAACTGTTTGACATTCAGCGGGACATACTGTAAGCTTGAGGTGCCAACTTAACTAATCGGCCACATGCATCATCACAAAGAGACAAAGTCAAACATGCCGACGCTACTAACCCCTGCTTAACAAAGACATATGATGCACAGCAAGCAGCAGCTTCATTTCCAATGGTGTCTAATTTGCTTTACTTAACCTTTGCGCTGCAAATAGCTCGAGGAGGCCTATGTAGATCTCTTTCGCTACGAAGATGAAGAATTCAAGCTCAACCTCATGAAGAGTACATCCTCCAAATCGGACTTTTTCATGGGAATAGAGTATGCAATAACTGCACCGTCAAGAATACATTCACCGTGTCTAAATGTAAGTGTTTTAACGACTAATTATATTGCACAGTAATGCAATTATAGTTTAAAAAAAATAACATTTCGTGTAACAATGTCTCCAGATGCTGCTCCGATATGTAATCTTGTTCAGTTGTTCATTTTTTTATTCAACAGGTATGCAAATTGCAGTTAGTGAAAGCTTAACAAGCAGGTAAACGTGCATTAAATCAACTCTGGGCTATTTGGGAAGTACAAATTGTGTCCCTGGTGCATTAGAATACATAATTGCCAAAATAAACAAGCAGAATTAGTTTAAACCCGTTATTATATAGGGTGCAAGCAAAAATAACTTAATTTTTGCTTCAACCGTTTGGTATATCTACCATTTAGATATTGCATTAATTAATTATGCATTTAAAGAGTAGTGTTAAGCATCATCGGCACAAAAGCTTCATAGGCATCATGATCATCACGATCCATGGGCAGATAGCCCGTAGGTGTCCATTGCACATGTCATTATTTGTTTCCACTTTTCTCTGTCTTGTGCCAACATACTCCAGTAGTGCCACGTCTTTCTAGCACCAATCTCTTATGCCGTTGTCAAGCCATTCTCTGATACGTATTATTCTCTTTCTGGTTCCTTTCATTTTCTAAGCAACACATTTTAATTTTCCTATTGTTGTACATCCTACATGTGTGTCCGAATAGTTTCAGTTTCCTTCTCATCACTGCCTGCATCAGGTCTTCTTCTATGTGCAACGTTTTTCTTACTTCTATATTGGTCACTCTTTGGGTCCAGTTTAGATGCAGTATCCGTCTATAGCAAAAGATTTCGAATTCCAACATCTTATTTCTGTCAGTCTTTTTCAATATCCAAGTCTCGCAGGCATACAATGCTGTACTGAACATGCATGTTCTTAAGATGTTAAATTCGGTAATGTAGCTGATTTGTTAGCTTCTCCAGATGCCATTGAATTCAACCCTTACTCCTTTTGCCTTTGCGATCCTCACTCTTATGTCTAACGTGCAGTTGTCCCATGTCAGTAGATTTCCCATGTATACAAATTCCACTGCACATGTCATTCAAATCAAGATTATACAAATTCCTTTCGAGTCACAATCATGGTACTTTCTATTATTACTTATGTCTCAATGTCCTCCCTTCCAAACACCATCGTCTTTGTCTTTTCCACGTTAGTCCTCAGTCCTGCATTCTTTCCTGACTTATTCGGCACATGAACACTTTCCTGCAGTACTACGCAGCTTTCTTGCCTAAAAAAACAAATCAATAATAGTCTGCTAGGTATTGTTTTGCCCATGTTATCAGGCAACCTAAATTACACGTGTGATGTATTGCCTAATTCAAGTGATGTTTGCCCCCACTCAGTCAATTGCAACATCCTTAAATGTGGTTTGGACTGAATGAACAAACAGACATCTCATCAGAAACCCACAGAGCGTAGGCTGGACGACAGCCTAATGCTTTGGGTGGTCAGACTTAGCCCTTTCCAAAGAAATGCATGCAGAATTTCCACAGAGTGAGCATCTTGGGTGGCCTGATCTGGGTTATAATTGTAATGTGATGTCTGATCTCTATCCATTGTGTCTTCAACAGCTACAGCTAGATACCACGATAGGAATTGAAAATATCTATGCTAATTATATCATGTACTACACCATGGCTTAATTCACACATTGGCATATACCCCTCCCCATTCAATTATTTTTTGGCAAAATCTTGCGAACGTCTCCATTACCAACGATGGGGGCAAATTGCCAAGGTGATGGGTTTTCTCCCGCTTCATGAAGATGTTAATTTTGCCGCAATATTTCAGCCACATACAAACAGCTTGGCTTTCGCACAGCACGTAATTGCCATTAAATTATTCTGACTTTGACAACACTACGTGGTCTAGGTCAAGTGTTTGCCAGCGCAGTGAAGAGCAGTCATGTTATGTGCAGTCAATTCCCTGGGCAAGATCAACATGGGAAATTCGACTTCGGGGAAAAGAACACGTTTCTCTGCTATACCACATGTATCCATCCATAGCAAACTATATCTATATATAGACTGCTCATGCTGCTTTACTACTTGCATCGATAAAATTTTACATCTGCAGACATTGTCTCTCTCTCTTGATCTGTGTGCTGTAGCAATGATTGTTAATGTTGTGCTGCAGGTGTTGGATTAGATTGCGTTAAATTACTTTGGGAGCTCAGTTTTACCTTTTATATAGTTCGTGTTATTGAAAGCAGTTTATTGCCACCAATTGCTCAAGAGGGCAAATTTTCTCATCCTGGGTTCCATTATTTTCCTGCTATGACTCACTTCACATAACTACATCACCTTTAACAAATTCTACATACATTTTGGCAATTCTCTGTAGATGCTGCTGTAGATAGTCCCTACTGGTTGACACATGTAATGTAATTATTTAGTTTTAGTTGCCTAAGATATTGTAGACAGAAATGGTTAGGCCTTCTTACCATACGCCCAATCCCAGTAGGATGGAGGTGGAGGGGTTTTAAAGCTTTGTCTTCTCAAAGTGAACCCACGGACAAGGGTTAAATCCATATACTGCCTGGCAAATTATTTTATAAAATACTAGTTATATTTCATTACTGGGATAATATGGTGATAGAATTACACGTCGTAATTGTCTTGGCTATATGCTGATGCAAGTCGGTGCTGATAATAAAACTGCCACATCTGCTATAAACCTTATACCGGAGAGTTATTTACAAGAACCCACCAAGGGAAATGTGGAGCATATTTGGAAATGAGCATTTATTCACGTTCACCAGTTGTTGGCACAATGGGGCCGCCTTATTGCATTTTTATTGCTTGTGCATTTTATAGGGGAAAAAAACACCTTTAAAAAAAGACAGCTGGAATTCAAAAAAAAATTGGGTCTCTGCCCATGTGCAATTTCCTGCTTTCACTGTCTGCAGGTCTGCATGATGCAGGCTGCAAGGGGGACCAATTTATGTTAACCGTGCGCATTTGAATTCTAGAAAATGTTTGGGACAAGGCTGTTGCTCTCCCCACTTGCCCAGACCAAGGCACATAATCCCTCTCCTGGGTCCTCGCCATGGAAGCCGCTACTGTTGGTGAATATTAAGTATACCCCAGCACCTCCAACACTTCAACTTAACCGACACTTCATGGTTTTTAAGTATTTATTTCTGTTCTTTCTTTGTAGTTAAACTAATTGAATCCAACGAGGATTGCTAAGACATTGCAACACATCACCGTATCGCTGACATTAACACACGGGGTTTTCAAAGTTCACGGAGCATGAATTTAAAAAAAAAATCATCCTTTAAGCTTAAACGTTTTGGCAAACGGAGGCTGCAAGGACTCGTTGCTTAAAATTCCCATTGCTTCACATGGCAGCAGGATGCAACCTCCTGTTTGGCAGTGAGTATGCATTTGATACATATTCACTGGGAGACAATGCTTCATACTAAGCTTATGTTAAAACCCTGCTTAGGTCTCAATACTTACTCTCAGAATAGGTGCAAAGTGTAGTCTAGTACAGAATGGCCTGGGTTTGCACTATCTGTGAGTAGTGCACACATTGACAATTAACCGCATACTATGTGTTGTTCGGCATGATGTCCGACGTTTCATTCCATTTTCTGGGAGCTTCTTCGGGAATGTAATTGAACAGCTGAACTTTACTTGCTCGATGACATAAATTATACTATGTAACACGATTTTTGTTCCTGGGTAGTAAATGTTATTTTCTAATTGCTTGTGCCTCAAAAGTATAGAAAATGGTTATTATTCCCCACAAACTTTGCTTTTGTGACCAGGACTTTA